GAACAGAGTAGAACTACGTGCCAAAAGTTGCAAAATTTACTGCCCAAACGTAATCACCTGCAAATCTTGCGTTCTAACGTAAATAACGGTGGCGTGACAAGTTAAGTAAATGATGGACATAAGTAATATTAATATTATTAAAAAAAACAGAATTTTTTTAAGTAGCCGCCTGTTAAATCTCCTAAACTTTTCTCCATGGAAATGGCTTTTGGCGTGACATAAGATATTCCCCTATTTTATTCCGGTTTCGGCTTGCAGCACAGAAGCCATCATCAAAGAAATTTTTTTCGCTACACAAGGATGAAGCGTGCAATTCAATCAATTATAACCTTTCCATGTATTGAAAAACATTCCAAAAATGGTTGTTAAATGATCGTTATTTGATATGCAGCAATCAGGTGTTTGATTTTTGAAGTTAGAATTTTTCTGAGCTATTCTCGAACCGTTAATTGAACGACTGTTTGTGATGTCCCAAAGTGGTGGTGAGATGAATGACCCGAAGCGACAACAGAACGATAATAATTCGTTTACAACATCAGCTGTGTTTTTTATTTCAGCTTTTGACCGGCGATTACTTGCTTCACTTTGGCAATGTGATAATCCGATGGGAACTTCAAGAAGTGCAAATGGAAGATAAGCATTCCTAATGTTAGAATCTTGAACAATTAATTTTGGACTACGTATTTTGTCTTTATATCCTAATGGAGCAGTACCTCATATATTATTGCCGTCGTCATCCTTCCTTTGCTCGTTATCCTTCTCCATTATATTCTCCTTACCATCTTACACTGATCATCATGCTCAGCATCAGTGTTATAAGGGCGCGGAGATAAATAGATCGACTTCAAACTTCAAAAGTGTCGGCTGCAAATCCCAAAAAACTGACTTTTTCATAATCTGTAATTTTCTTAGGCTAGAAATTTACCCCACATTGTTTCCGTGCAATCAGTCGGTGAGACAAACAGCGGAGACAGCAAGGTTTTCTGGTGTTGTCTTGTCAGAATATAGGAGGTGTACTGCAACACTGTTCTATGGACCACCCCGTATGGCTGCACTTTGTTTTGAGTAACCTGGCAGTGCAATAATCAGCACGAGGTTTAAATAGGAAAAATTCTTATCGTTATCGAGGTCGTCATTGTCTTTGTCACCATTATAATAATCGGTATCATCCTCGTCCGTGTTATGACTATCATCAGCGGCATCGCCATTTTGACTACTCTTCCTCCTGCTTATCTTTACGATCTTCGACTTAATGATCATGCATAGTGGATGAACGTAAGACCTTTGAACGAACCACAGTAGGCAAAGTTATCTATTAGAGGTAGTTTGATGTCACGCCTTCTTGCTCAATTCACATGTTTCTGGGAAACATCTTCGAGAAAGGAAATATCTTGACTCACCATCCCTGAATTGAACGAAAGTCAACCGTGCGAGGTATGCAGCTGTGGATCATTATTTAGGTTCGTGATTTTGTTGAACGGTCCCTAGCGCCTAGATCGTATATTAGCGACGATAGCATTGCGACCAGTTCTCCAGGGCACTTGCTTCATTATGTGCCAGAATAAAGTGGGTTGACATTAAGCACATGCTGCTTATTTACTACGGTTACTATGAAGATTTGTGATGAACACGTAGCGGTGAGTTGTACGACCCAGCTAAGGCAGATCTCCTTATTCTTTTGAGGCATGCCTACTGAGAGAGGAAACATTTCTTTCGTATAAAATTTAA